CACGGAGACAGGAGTTATGAATTTCCGTACAAACAGACAGACAGACGGACAGACAGACGCGAGCGCTTTATATAAAGTAAGGATGTATGGCTCTTTTGATTGGTCGGTTAATGGAATTCTGAGTTTGTGAGGAACTTATTCAACATATTTTTGGGAAGAATAGTCTTATTTTCACATTTTGTCTCACACGTAGAGACTGTGGCAGCTCTTGATTTACTTTTTGAAACTCGATTATTGATCTGAAAATTAGGAAGGCGTGGTTGACAAGTTTTATAGTTAACACTATCATTCACGCGCGCTTATGAGTTCGAATACTGGATCGATATCCGACTGGGCCCACCAACCCTTTCATCCCTCCGGGGTCGGTTATTTTGTAACAGACCCGACTGGAGGGGCAAAAGCACTGATTTGTCTATCGCCTGGCTACCGCAATTCATTGTTAGGGCCACATGGGCACCTCTGTACTTCGCTACGGTTCTTAATTGAAGTCAAGTGCGGGGATGAATCTCTCAGACGGGATTGATTAATGACGAAAGACTGTCTATTATCCTTAAATGCGGATTACCTGTCCTGGAGAGTAAGATTAGACCTCTGCTTTCAAGGGTAGGGTCGAAGTGTGTATTCTACGCTGCCATAGTTCTTAAATTAGTTCACGTTTTATTGAGCTCTTGTCTGTTCTCTCCGTTTCCTAATTATATTCATGTACTATTCGCCTAGTAAAAAGTGCTACTGCAGTTTCCCCGTTTCTTTTACTGGTGTAATTTTAGACGTAATTTCAGATTTTCAATGAACTTCTCTTGACAATTCGCTAATTCGCAAAGGGTTTCCCTTCTACTGTTTGTGGGAGAGCAAATTTATGGCAAAGACTCATGTACATCTTCCTGTAAACAGCAAGCTCGAAAAAGAATCCGCATGATCATATGGCCTTTCCAAAGCTGTACTTGTATATTTATGGTTGATTTCGACATTTTTTGGTAGACAAGTATTTGTCTAGTTGTTTCTATCGTGTGCAAGACAAATGTTGTTTTTATAGGTGTATAATAAATACATTTCACAGGTGATATTAAATCTCGAAAGAATGGTTGGTGGACCTTGTATTTCTTTGGTTTTCAGATCTATCGGCATATGATGGGGCCGTAAAACGATCGGTCTTGGTATTGTTGCGATGATAACGCCTCGTTAGGGGTCATCATGCATGTTCGAACAATGATCGCCTACGGGATGTAACCGATTGCAATGATGTTGGGGGTATCCATCATTACGAATCATTATAGCACCCAACGCATACTTGTTGTAGCGATACTTTTCGGTTGAATTATGGTTTTAGTATTTCTTGTGTTGGAAGCATGGAAAGGATAGCAGGAGTCAAGCAATGTATGTCCAGCGAAGAAAAATTTTATAAAAGAACAGCATACATGCAAAGGGACCTCCCCTTTGCACCTGACAAGGGATGTGACAGGAATTACGGATTAGGTTGTAAAATAAGTAATGTTGTCTTTTTAAATGTTTTGAGACCATTCCATGTGCCAGGTAGGTGTTTCGAAAGCTTTTTGCCTGCGCCAAACATTCTTGCATGGAAAATAATAGTGATTTACCTTTAGCTTGAGGTTTTATCGGCGAAAATCAATTAAAGCGGCAACTAGATCTACCTCAGTTTTCAAATTTAATCAAACAATCAGCAATCGATATACTGTCAGCGTAGCTACGATCTGTAGTGAACTCTGCTCATTCAACTATATCCAACTAGCTTTTTTTTTCGTCTTTCTTTTTCGGCGTCTTTTTTCCCAAAAACTTTCCTGCATGGTTCGGAGGGCTCCTTCTAGGTTATAGCAACGTTTGAGATTTTTCTTCCTGGTTCATCGCTAGAACGCCATTCCATGACTTTTCTGATGACATACTTTCCTCATGTGCACAAATATCTCGAACACCTTTTATGGCTATGATATCCTGGTGCTACAGTTGGAGTAGAAGCAAAGGTTTAGAAAGAGGTCTGTCTTCTGTTTTGACTCAATTAGTTACCGTGACACCGACCGAAGTACAAGGAAGGTTTTGGTCGTAGTCATTTCCGTTTAGGGACCCCTCATTCGACTCCAATGACTATCGTAGAGGCGTTTTGAATGCCTATGACGCCTGTACAATGAATCGCGGTAGGTAATCGATGTAGGAGTCAGCGTTTTCATCCTGCTAGACGAGTTTGGTTCCAATTAAACAACCGAGGAGGAATGAAAGCTTGGTTGGCGTGGGCGAGTATCGATTCGGGATTCGAACCTGTGACCATGCATGTGTGATAGTGCGCCACTTGCCACTACATCACCGCCTGCTGCACAAATCAGTAGAAATATTTGAAATAAGTCACGAGTTAACGGTACTCCTTTGATTGAGTTGCAAACGAAAACCGAGGTAGATTTAGTTGCCGAATTGACTAGTTTCTACCGATTTGAGCTTTTCCTTTTGGAAGCCTGACATCTATCTAAACAGCAGCTTTTCTGGAGACAAAGCATGTAATTCGCTTTGATGCTCAGAAAATCTTTCAAGATAACTGGTTCAGACTGAACGCGAAATAGTCCGGTAACAGTCAAAGTTACACAATAATCCGTCGGAAATGACAGCATTGCTTATGTTACAAACTAACAAATTGTTTTTGTGTTTTCAGTTGATGTTGATGCGGTTGAACTGCTAGCAGCCAGGATGGTGAGCTGGTCTATCATCGAATATTGCGGGCTGGCCGAGAATTCCTCATGTGGCTATTGCAAGAACTCGGGAAGAAAATCATCTCTAGGTACGGAGAACGGTATAGAAGACACGGATGATGAGGGCAACTCGGTCTCGTTTGGTAGGTAGTAGGTAGCGGATTAAGTGTACGATTCTACTCAGTGTTCCTAAACCCTGTACAGAATTAGTACCTATTCGGTTCCAGAGTTATGGAATAGCTCGAATAGCTGTAGAGTAGATTTAATGATGATTAATTCCAGGTTGTTTTGCTCATATTATGGACAGTGAGAGTTTTATGCGACTGCTGGAATACGGGTGGGGCGGGTAGGTAGTTTTACTGGCGCTGTTAGCTGAACTACGGGCCCAGATTCCTGAACGGCTCTGTTATGTACTTCGAACTTTTTTTTGCGAGGGAGAGACTGAAAGAGACTAAGACGTACAGACCGATAAAGGAGAAAGTCTCGGGGCGTTAATAAATCCCTTCTCAGGGTTCACGCATTCGACTTTCATTTAGAATCATTGTGACGTACTGAATGCATAGGTGGCCTATACAATGACATGGGTTGCCTAGCCGATGTACAGGTCGGTGCTTTTATCCTCCCAGATGAGTCTGGTACCGATTAACCGACCCGGAGGGATGGAAGACTTTGTTGGCCTGGGCGGATATCGATCCGGTGCTCGAACCCGTCACCGTTTGTATGAGATAATGCGCCACTTGCCACTACACCACCTCCACCCGTACCTCCCACAATAGGAACTATTCATAGTATAAGTGCAGATCAAAAGGGGACCGCTTCCGACCCATAGGTAAACTGTAACCACTCTCAGCCCCTTACTACTTCTGTCCCTATACGTCTCAGTTTCTTACAGTTTGAATGCAATTCGACTTTTACTTGTTAAAGGGTAACCCCTAAGAAATTAACGCAGCCCAACATTCAGGTCACTCAGAAAATTTCTGTTTTGAGTAGTTCGGTGACGAACGACTAGCAGCTTGTGACGCGTGTGATTGTGGTGCACCGCTTAGATTAAGGGTGCGTCACCCAGCGCCCTTAATCTGGGCGGTGCTCAGTGCTTCGGAACATTTACATGAGACAGTCGATGTGTATCACTTACCTCGCACACGGCACTTGTTTTTCTTTTAATTACCAAGGAGATCACTTTAGTCCAACTCCACAACATTAGGCTATTCTTCCAGCTCTGAAGCGTGGGTATTTAAAATTCCGGTATTTGGGAGGGCATGGGGTGTGGTGTGCAGTGTGCCTATCCCGCCTCACCCCTATTCTGAATGTAAAACTTGATGGAGTGTTCAAAAGATCTGCAAACAAAATGCATGCGCTTCTCTTTGGAGTAAAACATATCTGAAATCGGATCCATTGCAGGAATCTGGGCACTAAAGCTCAGCTGCAGGAACTATCAGAGATTACTGGACAGAGGATGGCGAAGGTTATTTGTCACTCTCCATCTATGTCCATGAATTCTGTTTGCTTCATTGTCTGTGATAGAGCTTGCGTTTCGTTTGAAAGCAGTTATGAACGCCAAAGCTTTACCCTTACAGTGTGGCTTACTTTCTGATTGGTTTCTTGCATGGAACTGCTTCAATTAAACCCCTTTATTTTCAGGTCGGGAAAGTATATTTATAAACCGACAATGGATCGAACATGTTGTCCTCAATATACTATTAGGTAAGCCATTTTCTTGTCAAACACCCAGGCACAGGTCCTTCACAGTTCTCGTGATTCAGGCTTGATTCAACCAAATTCTTTCTATCGCGAAGCCAAAGACGTGTTCTTCGTCAAATGAATGAGTTCCTCAAAGATGGCACAAAGCCAAGGAGTCGAATTCGAGAATCGATTCCGGTTGATGCGGAGGTAAGCTGTCGAATTGTTTGTGTTTGAAAACAAGCCGATTTCTATCGGTCGTTGGCCGTACTTTCTTTAACTTGAGTCTGATTGAGAAGATGTTAATGCTGCTTGGTCTAGAGTTCCTCATCAAAGCCAGCACCACGGATAAAAGAATCGGGTGATACTAAATCTCCGCGGAAGGCAGTGGATAAGTCTAACAATCCAGTGCAGAAGAAGAAAGAACTCCGACGTCAACGGTGTTATGCTCGATGGCGCGCCAAAGGATTGGATGTGGAAGAGATGAAGAAAGCTAGAGCTGCTAAGGTGCTCTTATATCCTTTCATCCTGTCGATACCAACCGTTTGATACCTTCAAAACATCCGTTCTTTGTAATAGGAACAGATTCCGAATTCATCGATCTTTAGTAGTAACTTGACTCTGTAGGTAATCGTTTTCGTGAAAAACCGTGGTTATCGGAACAAATGTGCAAGGGGCTTCTCAGTTTCAAGTTTTCGCCTCCCCTCCTTTTTTTTTTGGTAAATCCTCAAGCTCAAATGTTCTGATCTCGATTTGTTCCAGGAAGAAGCCCGGCGAAGGACAGTCGAATCTTATATACTGGAGCCAGACGATACGTGGAAGCACAGACTAGAGGTAATTCAGCAGGTTAATTCATCGAAATCACCTCGTCACTTGATGTTGGAATGTGACTGGGGTGAATCACAAGTTTTCGGAACATATATACCGTAGAAAATTGAATGATCATTGCACCGACGATAGGGCGAAAACTACTGACAGAAGAAACTTATTATTTCAATATTGAGCTCCTCGTCCCTACTCGTCAGGCTCTAATAGTTCAGCCCTCTGAAGGATCTTTTTCCCGAGCGTCAAGTACGTGTTCCTAGTCTTTGGGAGCCGTATGCTTTGTCCATCTATGGGACTCATATGCTTTGTCCCTTGAGGTTAATATGTTCCTGTCTCAGAATGCCTCGCTCTTTTGAAATTCACTTCGAGGGTTTGGGAGGTCATGCTCACTGGGTATGTTTCAACACACAAGGTGGGGAAATTGGGTATGCAGTTGTCGTTTACGCACATATAACTTTGTCTAAGGCGCGCGACTCATGCCGTTACATACATTGATGACTATTTAGGCCGAAAAACTTGATCGGCTTTCAGTACTCAGCCCTCTTCCCTCCATCGCCATGCCCTTCCCTCTATGTCTTCCGCATCTTGGTGAATTTTAAGAAGACGATAAGAGCTATTTCTGCTGTGCTATTTCTGCTGGAGAGGCCTGTTCTGCGTAGCCAGATCTTGGCCAAGCAGTACTTTTATAGCATTTACGGTCTGCTGAACCATCTTCTCACGGATAGATGGGCAGCTTCGAGCATTCGAGCATATATATGATAGGCGGGCTGGTAGGTAATTCACTTGAACCTGACTTTTGAATTGGGCTCGAACTTGTGCAATGCAACCTCTCAAAGAGAATTTCAAGAGAGCGAGACATCTTGAGAAAGGAACATATTATTCTCATTGACGGACAAAGCATACGGCTTCCAAAGGCCAGGAACACGTAATTTTCACTCGGAGAGAAGATCCTTCAGAGGATTGAACTGTTCAAGAGACGGACGCATAAGGACGAGGAGCTCAATATTGAAATGACAACTTTCTTCTGTCTGTAGTTCCTGCATCATCGCCGGTGCAATGATCGTTCAGTTTTCTACACACCACAGAAAATTGAGAAAAAGTAAGTAGAAAGTAGTTTCGAGAACAGCGGCTTAATCCTCCTCGCCTCTACTCGTGAGACTGCGAACGCCATTCATTTAAATATCCTCGGCAAATCTCTTCATGTGTCGAAACAGTGTAACATATAAGTATTCGAAGAGCAATGAAACGAAAGCCAATTCGTAGGCGTAATCGGTTGTTGTCTTGAGATTTGTTTTACTTTCTCAAAAAAATAATATGCAAGAGCTAGTTCGATTATATCTTCGATGAAATTGACCATATTGATCTCATTACTGAGTATTGTTTTTTATATCAAATGTTGCTACTATATATATTGGACATTAAGGTGAAACTCGTTCACACCGGCAGCGAAGAATTCAGGAAGCGCTACAACGAGTCGTTTTTACTGTATGAAAAATATCAAAAAATTGTGGGTCTTGCAAGGTTTTTCACAATTTGTAGTCTTCTCCTTGTTTAATGTCGTTTGGCGGTCAATAGATACATTTATAATTCATTTGCAGATCCACAAAGATGATGATCCATCAAGAGCGGGTTTCAAGCGTTTCCTCGTAGACACACCTCTCTTTGACGATGAACCTTTACCGTGAGTCCTCCTGCTAATCTCTGATTGTCTAACGACTTATTGTAGCTACCATATCATGCAGATGTTCAATTTAGGTCACCTGAGGGACTGACAACTGGCTCCTATCACCAGTGGTATATACTCGATGATAAACTAATTGCAGTTGGAGTAGTCGATATTCTGCCAAGATGTGTCTCTTCAAAATATTTATACTACGATCCTGATTACTCCTTTCTTAGTCTTGGAACGTATACTGCTCTGAGGTTAGTTCTAGAGGTTTTCTGTTGAGTCTTCACTCGGTTTCTGCCCAATGAGAGGATAAAACTATTTTGACTGAATATTGATGCTCCACGCTCTTACAGAATTGGCTGTGAGAGTGGGGCTTATTGATAAGAATCGTGAGGTGTACCGTATATTTTCAGAGAAATTGCCTTTACTCGTTTTGTAATGCGACATCGACCGGAAACCAAATACTATTATATGGGTTACTATATTAGCACTTGTCCAAAAATGCGTTACAAAGGATCATTTCATCCAAGTGAACTGCTATGCGATCGAACCTTTCAATGGGTCAGTTGTTTCAATTCGTTTATTTTCAGAGTAGGTCCTAAGTTCATAACGATATGGCAAAACATCCTACTTACTATAAAGCGCTTCGTATGTCGTCTGTCTGTCTGTCGTTCTGTCTGTATGTCTGTCACGAAATTCCTTAGCTCCTTTAGATCTGCCTGGATAGACCGGGTTAAGCGTGGGATGGGTGGGCCATGTCCGAGAAGTATAAAACACACATCAGCTTGGCGGATGGAAACACTTATGGTAGGTGGCAGGACCAAACCCCGCCCACAGAGGACGGGGATTGAGCGGAAAATCATAACTCCTGTCCCCGTGGACCTAGAAAGTCCAAAGTTGGAAGGAGTATAGGTGGTGGATGGAAACACTTATGGTGGGTAGCAGGATCAGACTCCGCTCGCAGGGGAAGGGGTTTGAGCGGAAACTCATAAATCCGTTAAAGGCCTGTAATGAAAATCAGTTCATGTGGCTCCGTCCCTCATGACTAGAGCCCCTAGCGCACGCGATAGCGAGCGTGGCCGCCTAATAGTCATATAGAGTCATATAGGAAGTACAGTTGCAGTTGTCTCGTAGCCCGTTGGTGTTGTTCAGTTTACGTTTGTTTCATTTGGTCATCGTATTGGGAACAAACCGTCTAATCGAGCACTACAAAGTAGTTTGGAGGCCCTGACACCTCTTGAAAACTCATACACAGAAGATCCCACTTGAGTAACATGCCTTGCTCGGCCCTATCAGTGTTATATTTCCTCTCGATTGACTGAATAACATAGAATAAAAGGGAACTATTAACATCAGTCATGAACTCACTATACTCACTTGTTGCGTATGAGGACATTGTACAGCTCACTGCTTTTATTCTCCCGGGCGAGTTTGGTACCAACTAGCCGAAGCAAGAGGGATTGAAGCCGATTGGCCTAGGCGAATAACAATCCGGGATTCGAATCTGTAACCATGCCTATGTGATAATACGCTACTTGCCAGTACACCACCTCCGCTCTGTAGTGCAGATAGGTAATGCATATCTTAAGCTCACCTATAGCTACCGCTCAAGGCCTCTGGACCTTCTGAGGTTTTCGAAGACGACGATTTGTTTGAAATATCCACCCTATGAAGTGATTTCACGGAAAACTTGTACAGTACAGTAATGCAAACCGATACTAAACGGTACGGCTCGAAGTACCGCCTCTCAACCCATCCGTTACAGGTACCTCTGGACATTTGTGACCGAATGTTGCGGGAAAATGATAACAAATTTACTGTGTTCTTACCGAATTCGCCTCCCGCTGTAATGCAGACTCGTGATCAGCTGATCCTCTTGATTAACGGAAGAGTAAGTTGACCAAATTCTCCGCGTACTATGTTTGGAACCTATACAAACTGCATGGGGAGACGGCTCAGCCGAAATTCGTGCAGGAGACGATCATGTTGCCAGTCACTTCGCATTCCATTATATAACATGCCTCTTAGGGTATCTCTAGCGGTTTTACAATAAAAAATGCGCCTGCTCGATTACATTGGAACGAGAGCAGCGAAGGATTACGGTTACCTTTGCAGTGTGCGAAACCGGGCTGCACATTAATCAGACAAATTTTCCGGGTTCCCGGAAGGGAGTGGGCCGCTTGTTACTTATATACTTCCCATATCCTCCAATTCCTGGATAAACTTTCCTTTTTACCAGTGTGTTTTTTATCGGGAACAATGTAACATGGAAGTGCGTTTGCCTACCTTTTGAGATGCTCTGCTTAAGTTCCGCCGTCCCTTTGCAGGAGGGGATGTGGGGACGCCCACTGCGCAAGATAAGGGGAATTGATAAAACTGTTTCGATATTTATGTTTATTTATATTATATATGTTTATTTATATTTTTATTTATTTATTTATTTTTTCGACCGCGATATCGTCTCATCAGCAGTGGTCCAGGGAAGTAACTGTACTAGTCTGTCAGAATACTTATTTTTAGGCTGTGCTCTACGCTGACATCGAAGAAGTGATGCCATCACTTTATGAGCTAGCCAATTCAGAGGCCATACGGAATAAGCTGGATGCTTTCGCTAGCCGTATAGGAAGTGATATGACGAGACTTGTCATCTACCTGTCTGACTTGCAGGGTATCGACGTGGAATAGTTGTCACCTCATTAGTTTCCTACTGCTGTGCTTGATTCCAAAGTGTATTATATGAGTGTAAGCAAGTGAATATGGAAATGGGGATACATATGTATAAATGCTTTAGAGAACCTTCTTGTGGTTGTTGAGCGGAATCGAAGAGAATGCCCCATTTTATTAGATGAACGTGCTGCTTTTTTAATGAAAGACGTAGTGATTGTAAGGATTCATTCGTTACTATAGTGCGCAATCCATCTGTCCTGTTTTCCTTTAGGTTCGTGAGAACAGACTTCCACGTCCTAAAGAATGAGTGCGAGATTATCGCGCTTTTATGTGGTGTAATGACAAGTAGCGCGATGTTACACATGCACGGTTCGGAGATCGAGTCCAGATGCGATGAACGCTTGAACCATCAACGCTAGCTAATTCCTTTCCTTGGGTCGGGGTAAACAATAAGCCGATGAAAATGTTGAGGAGAAGGGTGTGTGAGGTTCCTTGGTCCGCTCCGAAATATCAAAAACGCATCCGCTAACAACGCTATAGAACATGTCTACCAAATAAGTTCCATCGCGAATCCTTCACTTGGATGATTTATGAACGCAATGAACGTAGGGAAGGACTGGCGCAAAGCTTGTCAAAGCCAATACGGAAACCAGTTCACTTCAAGGTGGTGAGAGCATTGCGAACTCACGGTGGTAAAAGCATTGCGACCGAGAGCTGATTCAGAAGCAGCCTGATTTCTACTCAATATGGTCAATGCATCAGTGAGTTCTGGGCTACCAACTGATCAACCTTATAATGAAAGTCTTGGCTGTGATAGGCAATTCCTTCTGAACCCATGAGTTATAGCAGATTTTCTATATTCCCTGCGATGGGTCATGAGATGCCGTTGCGCCGAAATAAGGCTGCCACTGGTTACGGTAGTTAGAGAGTGATTCTGACGCGACAAGCCGGTTATTCTGCCTGCAGCAACCTGCTTTCGGTACAGCAACAGTATTGTCAACCCCAGGCTTCCACTGTACGCAGAATGGCCACGACCTGACGCAGATTGTCTAAAATACGGCCCACTAGTGGGAAAAGGTAAAGGAATAGAGGTTTTGTCATGGATATTAACAAATCCTCAAATGCTATTACGCCTATATCATAACTTTAAGGCCCTCTCAACTAATACTCAGGAAGCTATGGTGAAGTTTTCCCCGCCATACTGCACAATTCGATGCCAAAACATGCATGCACCCAAATACTTCGAAATTCTTGGCTCATCCATCTCCACAATCACATATGTCCTGCGAAGTCACGGATAAATTAACATTTAATCAATTTTGGACTACAATAACAATCACAACAGTCGTGCACCCAATTAATTAACAACAGAACCCACCAATGAGGAAAAACGAACGTGAAAGAAAAAAGTCGAAATTAGCATGATAAAAAAATAGTCACATTTGATATTCTATTCGAAAGTTTACAATATTAAGACAATTATCTGTAATTAGACCACAGCTTCAGTCAGCACAGGTCTCTTTTGATTGATATCATATAACAAAATGAATAAATACAACAACGACACCAACCATCTTGATTGTACTGACTTGAATAGCTGATCGATGTCAAGCAGCATGATCTAGACGGCTTTCACAACCACCAAAACGACGGGAACTGGGGGCGTTGTGCAACCGTGTTCACCTAGTAGAACTTGGCCTTGTCGGGTTTGCTCCTGAAGAAGGGAAGTGGTAAACTCATCAAGTACACCTCCAAAGTCAAGGAAGGAAGCAAACCTGATAAATATCATAACCACGATAATGAGTCCTTGGATGAATATCACGGCTAGGAACAAGCTTGACGAAAGGCACGCGATATTTGGACAAGCCACTCCACCTGCACCGCCTCCGCTCTTAAATAATCTCAACTGTTGCATCGGCTGAACATTAGTCACTGCTTGAATTAATGTATAAGAGTGATATGCATGGCGATCACGGAAAGGTAGATCGGAATTCAGACGCCATGTTGAAGTCCAAATTAGAAAACGCTTTGGAATCAAATTCTTGTTACTCTCACACCAAAGCATTCTTGTCTAACTTCAAAAAGGCTAAAATGTCACTCATCAATGTTTTTCTTTTCTTCCTGCTCACTTAAAGTTTGTCACACAAACCTGTATACAGATATTCCCCTATTCTGTAAGAGCCGTGAATTTCCTACTCACTACTATCCCCGTAAAGCACTGGGTTCCAGAACTTCATCAAAAGGAACTGTCTGATTAAACGTACCTGCGCCAACTGATTGGCTCGCACAGTTCGAACTTCATTCAACAGGCTATCCATTTTCTGGTGCATATTTTGGTCTACTCCTCCGCCTCCACCTCCTTGTGGGACCCCCTAAAAATTTCTCCTACATGTTTATCTCTTATCTATCAAATCCATGAATATTAACACTCACTTGTCCCAATTTCTGCTCCATGTTGTATGTTTTCGTGAAGATCTCATTGATATACTGCTTTTGATCCCGCAGAGACTGGGTCAAATCTCTTAGTGATTGGAGCATTTCGTTCTTCTCATGTTGAAGCAGACCAGTAGAGGCAGCAGGAGCTAGAACAACATGGAGTTAAAAACAACAGAAACTATAACTACGAAAATATAAAATGTTAGCCATCCGCTCTGTACTTGAAAATCGTTTGAGATAGCGTGACCAGGAACATAGAGCAAGCAAAAGTTCACGTATTTTTTCCACGAAAATTCGATCATAATTTTCATCAAGTTAAAAGGTTCTCATTGCAAAAACTTCAGGGCAATGAGCCTGGATGCGTGCACTACTTTGTAGCAGTCCAGCTTTTGCAGTGATTGACAGGTGCAAGACAAAGGAGAGAAATTACCAGTTTGTCCTGGTTGAACAGCTCCGCCTGGCTGTAAGACTTGTACTCGCTCGTCGACCCTTTGCAGAACCTAAGATGTAAGCTTTCATAGAAGAACACCACTTACATTCGGAATACAACTCGCGACATAAGCGGAGTCCAATAAACAGAAAACCTAAGGAGATTTGTGCCAGGCCAAGCATTTCGAGTCCTTATGGTCATTCAAAAATTTGAAAAAAAAAACATCAACTGTATGTGCATCCTTACTTGCAGGATTTTGCCCTGACTTTCGA